ACCTACCAATAAAAAATATATATTTAATAGTTAGATCTGGCGAATGTACCATTCTTTTGAGAAAATCTATAATTACTACTTTATAATTACTTGGTGCTACTTGTCGGAGATTCCTCTCTTTTTGGCAGTAAACTAACATTTACGTATATATTTTATGGGTAGATGATGTCTGTATCAACTATATAATGACTTTTGAGATATCTAAAACCTTAGTCTCTTCCATGACCATGATTGCTGTAAAGCATTCAAAACGTCGGGAACCAAAAATCAAAATAAATCACCGAAAAAATTTGTAGAGATAGTTTTATTTTAAATGCCAATTATTCGCGAAAATCTAAGATAGTATTATCTAGTACAGTATTATATGATCTGTGGTATTATTTACGTATATTGTGAATGTGAATGATTCATGTAAGAAATATATTTAGCTAACTAGCGGCAGACCCTTGCTTCTTAAGCTATGTGTTATTCCAGACTATAATCTATCTCTGTGCCAAATTTCATCCAGATCCATTCAGCTGTTCTGGTGTGACGTGAATATGTATATATATATATATATATATAGAGTTTAACAAATGTTCGACGTCATTCTTTAAATTGGCATAACTTTTTTATTTATGAACCGATTGACAAGAAACAAACACTAAATGTTAAGTGAAGATTACCACAACATATTAGTGAAAACCACAATCTTAATCGGATAAGCCGTTTCTGAGATTAGCGTGCACAAACGCACAGACAAACAGATAATCAGGCAAACAGACAGACAGAAATCTTTGTTTCGGGTGCTATTTGCGTTGATAAAGGTCCCAATAATATTTTTTTACATATATTTTCCATGTACAAACCGCGATCCGTTACCTTTTTATTATGCTTATGTATAGATTTAAGCAATACGCCACTTATACGATCCTATTGTTGCAGATAAATCCAATTTCCCATGAGCAATGTCTCGACAAAACAATTATATTGTGTGAATATGACCTCAATAGGTCAAGTCGTACAAGTCTTACGTTCTTTGTAATATGCATAGATGTATATATATATATATATATATATATATATATATATATATATACATATATATATACATATATATGATAGATAGATTATAGGTACATACTTTTTTCTAATTGCAATTAAATGCTTATAATTGTTATTACTTCAAAATGAAAATAATATTTTTTAGTTTCGCTATTATCTTGCTACTAGCAGATACGTCCGTATCTAAGACAGATTCTAGCGACTCACCCTCGCACTGCTCGGTTACGTTTTAACGTTTAGTACCTATATGTAGATTTCTCAGAGATGAGATATTTTTCCGCAGTAAAAAGTACCCTACATATTGACCCGGATAAGCTATCATCTTACAAAATTTTATCAAAATCTGTTCAGCGGTTTTCTCGTGATGTGTTCCCAGACAGAGAGACAAAAATTCTAAAAACTATAGATTCGGCCTATGTATCGATAATAATGACTTTTTCCATAAGATATTCCAAAAAATATTTTCATATTATTTCAAATGTTACCAATTAATTCGTTTAGCCTAACGTCTCTGTTGTTTGCTCTCGGTCATAAATTTGGATTATTTAAATATATTTATATATATATATTTGGATTATATAAATTTGGATACAGTAAAATATTTAAATTAAATTTATTTTGTATAAATGAATATATAAATCAGTTGTAATTTTATTAGGTATATGTATAGATAGATAGAATAAACTAACCCCTCGGAAACATCGAAAATAAACAATACAAGTACATATTTACGTTCAGCCAAGTATTGCAATTGCAAAAGCAATAATAATATATAAAATATAATAATATTACTAGTTGCCAAATATTAATATTAAATTATGAATGTTTATTGAATTATTTTTTTGTTGATAAATATTAAAAAAATATTCTTTACTGCAATCATCGATTACAATAATAAGCCTAATTTACAGTTAATATTTATTAACATTTGCTCATAAAGTTTGTATTTGGAGCGTCTAAAACAACACTGCATTTCTAACAATATTTCTGATTAAATTTTTTTTTTTTATATATTATCTCATCTTATTTTCTTACGTATGTACTTTTCAAGGTTCAATGTTAACACAATTTTATCCAACCACCTTTAATTATAAAGACCCAGCTGTCAGACAGAAGGACAGAGTTACGTTTAGAAAGTTTCTTCTTTCGCCAGTTTTTCTCTGGTCTGAGGCTTCTTTCCGAACTGGTAGTAGACTCATGACGTTCAGTAAAAAATTGTAATAATTTAATGCTGAATAAAATATTTTTATTTGATTTGATTTGAAAGAGAAATCGTAACCTTGTTAGGTGTAGTTTATTAATCAAGCGTTTAAAGAGTATCGATAGTGCTAGATAACGATCTACTCTAGAAACAATAATTATTAGACTATCGAACTGTTGCAGCGCTACTTATGTAATGTTTTTAATTAAGTAGAGTAACTAGGCTTGTTCGTTCATTGCATACAGATGTTATATTGTTTTTATTATTAACGGTTAGTATGAAATAGATAGACTGTACATATAATATTATACTAGAGACTCGCTCTCGCTTCGCTTGGATTCGTCCCTAGGTACGTTTTAACGGTTAGTATAGATTTCTCAGTGATGAGATATTTTCCCGCAGTAAAAATGTATTCTATATGTTGACCCGGATAACCAGTTATCATCATACCAAATTTCATCAAAATCTGTCCAGTGGTTTTCTCGCGATGCGTTCTCAGATACACAGACAAACACAAAAAAATTCTAAAAACTATAGATTCGGTCTCTGTATCGATAATAACGACTATTTCAATAAGATTTTCCAAAAAATATTTAATGGACAGATTAACTCAGAATTTTATTATATGTATGGATAGATATGTAACATAGGTATGATGAGTTTTTGTGGGTTGTATTATAACGTGTTTTTCCATGGGAATGTGATAATTTGCCGGAAAAAAAGTAGCCTATGTCACTCTCCAGCCCTCCAACTATCTCCACACAAAAAATCACACCAATCCGTCACTCTGTTTCGACGTGAAAGGACAAACACACTTTCACGTTTATAATATTAAGTATGGATATGGTTATAGAGTATGGACTTACTTATAATTTAATTTTTTTGCTGATTATCTTTATCTTTACATCATACTGGTTAACTAATGAATATTATTATAACAACAACAAATCAAATCTATTGCTTAGAAACTTACACAAAGGTAAAAGTTAAAAAAAGTATGTATTAAATTTTTATTCCACTTTGGAAAACATTACATAATTTCTAAGAGCAGATTTGAAAAGGCATTGTTCTGTCGAAATTTCAATTTTGTTTAAAATCTTCGAATCCAAACAAAAATTCCAGAGAAAATTGCACTTTCGATTTTTCCACTAACGACAAGCATTCCATTTTTATTTTCGTGTAAGTGGCTGAGAAACATCCGGATTAAACTAGTTTTCATAAAAATGTCTTGAACTCGTTCGGGAGATAAAAAATAATAAAAAACACAACAAGGAAACATTCAATCGTCCAAAGTTCAAATTAATGCATTTAAAATAATTATTATGCTACATGGTGCATAATAATTTACATCTATTGTTTAAAAATGAAATCTTTTTTCTTATTTTTATAACTAGCATTGCCCGCGGCTCCACCCGCGTTCAGATGACCAAAAACCAAATTCTTAGGTTTTACATATTAGTATGTATACTCTTACATTACAGTTTTTGTATATTTTCTCAGAAATGAGATATTTTCCCGTGGTAAAAAGTCCTATATGTATCCTATATGTTGACCCGAATGTCCAGCTATCATCATACCAAATTTCATCAAAATCTGTCCAGTGGTTATCTTGTGGTGCGGTAACAGACAGACAGACGAACATTCTAAAAATTATATATTCGGACTCTGTATCGGTAATAATGTCTATTTCAATTAGATTTTCCAAAAAATATTTCATGTACAGATTCGTCTTAGTTACAATTTTATTTTATGTATAGATATATAGATAAGATAGCTGAGAAACATCTGAATTAAACTAGTTTTCAAAAAATGTCTTGAACTCGTTCGGGATACAAAAATAGTAAATAACACTTCAACAAGGAAACATTCAATGGTCCAAAGTTCAAATTAATCCATTTAAAATGATTATTATGTTATATAGAGCATAACAATTTACATCTAAGGTTTAAAAATATTTTTTTTCTTATTTTTATAATTAAGTTGGTTCCTTAATTGCTTGGTTGGTTGGTAATTTATTCACGAATTTAATATTTTTAAACAAGAATATTTTGTTGCTATTTCTTCTTCTACCTACTCATTCATTTGTTTGTTGAAATAGTGAATGGTACGCAAATCTTTTCGAAATTTTAGGATTATTATTTATTAGTATTACCTGATTGAATTTTACATCTGGGCGAATACAGGGCGTGCCGCTAATAAATAATATGTTTAAGCGTTTATATTTGTAATTTACAATAAAACTAGCACTATTATTTATAAACTTTATTATAAAAAATTAAATAATAACTATAAATTAATTCCAATCCATGAAATATATATATTTAATATATGATGATAATAATGATTATTACTAACAAAGTTTGTTATTTCGTAAGGTTCTACCGTTCCTCACTATGTCGTAGTGTACCAATATACCATTGGTTAAATGGGTTTGGTCAACTTAAGGCGTTGCTTAACTTTGCAAGTACACTTTTAATAGTTTAGATATTTACACCAATGTTGGTTCCAAGTTTGAAGTGCTGTGTGCAATCGACAGTGTTGTTATGTCAGACGTTGCGTTAATATTGTAAAGAATCGACCGCTTGAATTACTACCTTGTTTTACTATTTTATAAAAAAAAAAGCCTGATTAATTTCAAGTTTTGTAGATAACCGCCTTATTTTTCCCATATATTGTAGGATTTGTACTGAAGTAGCTCTTCTGTAAATACTTATTGCATATTATAGGTATATTTTATCATTTTATACCTCATTTAATTATTTTCAAAGAAATCTTCTGTGAGTGGCACTTTACTGATCTGGTCATACGTATAAGTGCTGAAGAACCTTTGTGTTACATTCATCGCATAATCTATTGCGTAATCCAAGATGGGACCGCCAAATTCTTGGGCTACTAATTGAGAATTTGAGTTTAGGACTTCTAGTATATTCGCACCTGCGGAAGAAATGTTATTTAATGTTTTATTTTACAGATTTTGGTACTCTTGAATATTTTTAAGGATTTTTTTTCTTTCATTTACAAGTTATGGCTGCGAATATATACATATACTTACTTATTTGTGGGCTTCCTCTGAACAGGTTTGTAAGATTTAATTTGAGATCAGAACCAAAGTCGGCCTTGTACTTATATGAGTTTATTTTATAATGCCCTTCACCATCTTTGTCTTTAACGATCTTCTCTAAGACTTCCAAGTGAATATGTTGATTCCCTAAAATCATAGTAGAAAAAATATTAAGTATATATATATATATATAAAATGCCATAAATAGTATCTATGTATATAAACTCACAAATTTTAATTTTCGCGTTGCCTTCAGTGTCGAGGTTGAAAAGAAGGATTCGACCTTGTACGCTGTATTGTCCCTTGATGGTGAAATTACAATGCATGTCGAAGATAAATGTTCGTTTAGCACGTTGTGATCTATCAAATATAATTAGTTAGCATAAGTACTTAAAGGCCCAATATTCATTCTTATCTAATATGGCTTTAGAAAGCATTTACGTAGTAATAAAAATTGAAATCTTTAAAAATAAATGTATGGTCGCAGTTTTGTAGTTAATTCATTCATAACCGTTGTAGTTGTTAGAAACTATTATTATAATTGATAAGATTTCTCGGTAGGAAGACTATTATTAAATTGTACTTGCAATGATTTTGTATTGTGTAGTTTTAGCAATTACACAGAAAATCTTATATTTATCGCAGTATTAGTATAATTTGAAATCATTGTCTTTTTCATGTTTACTTATTATTTGTTAACTTCATTTAAAAATTTCCCTTCAATAAAAAATATGTATGTAGACACTAGTGGGGAGGTAACCACCAGTGTAATCGGGATATAACATATATTTTTTACTTTATTCTAAAGTAACAATCACATAATTAATCTTCTTATTAATAAAAATGAATGGCTAAATGTGTTGCTAAGCGCATAACTCGAGAACAGCTGGCCAAGCCAATTCGGGTAATTCTTTTGTTTAAATATTCGTTGAAGTCCGAGGAAGGTTTTTATGAAGAGAAATATTAGAAAAAAAACCAAAAAAAAAAGATTTTTTTTTTCTAATCGAGCGTGCTACACACTTGATTTGACAGAACGAGGTCTGTCGGGTCAGCTAGTAATGAAATAATTTATTAGATTGGAAATGCTCAAATTAATTGTTTTAAAATTATTTTTGCCTTAATTTATTCAATAGTAAAAGTATTACTTTGCCACATTATGCTTAGCTAATGAACACCTTGACCATATTTCATCACCACCCATTTGCTATGTACGTGTTTAAGCAATATTATGTTTAGTAAAAATACTTATCACTCGATAAGAAAATTGGAGAAATATAACCCGGATACAAAATATATAAGGATACACAATAGAGGATATTTAAACTGCTACTTTGAGCTACAAAGATTGGCTTAGACAACAATAAAACTATAAACAACAAAAGTAGTGTGTGGATGGAGAATCGGCATTATTGTTATATGTAAAGCCGTGTAATAGATAAATTAGCTAACTTCCTAAAAAAGTTCGCAGTGAAAACCATCTTCACCCCCTTTCAGAAAGTGTAAGGGTACAGTTGAGTACAACAACTTCACCAGTTTACAGACTAATCGACGAAAAACTTATAAATTACTTCATTTAAAAAAAATATTAATATTTGTAAAAAATATTTAGTATTAGTAAAATGTTTAGTAAAAAATATTTAGTAAATACTTAACTGCACCATAACAAAATATATAATAAGAAAATATCACTTACGATACTTTTTCTGGTATACAAGTGCTTAAGCCTGACAATTTTCCGTTGTGGAAAGTCATTTTCACATTTCCCGGTAAATTCATAGTGATGTTTCTATCAAGGTACAGAGGATCGAGTGGGGGAATCCCGGCTTCCGGGATCCCCCTAACTACACCTGGGAGGGCGTCGATGGTGGCCTTTGTGAAGCACTCATCTGTTAACTCCCCGCACGGGTGGATGAAGTCGGCTGGAAATTATTTACATTAGACAAGTATAAAATATATATACATACATATATATATATATACATATATATATATATATATATATATATATATATATATATATATATATATATACATATGTATTATGTACTAATATTACAAAAGCAAAAGTTTGTTAGTGAATGTTTTATTTTATTTTTATTTCTTAACGCTGTAACAGTACAGTGAATTGTAGTAGAATTTGGAATGAAATACTTTGAGTTCAGAAATAACTAATCGTCATTTTTTTTCGATGTACCTATTACGTAAAGAGAACTACAAGAAGAATGAAAAGAATTGTAGATAGACATTTAAGTTATTGGCATTCCCGTAAAGCCGCTATAAAAGGATTCGCGCCAAACGACGTCCTACAATCATTCAAATATAAACAAAAACAAATCTATCCCACGGGAACCGTACATTTCTCAGGGATAAAAATACACAGCCTATGTCCTGTTATTATAATATCTATTTTGATATTGCCGTGATTAAGTCACAAACATCTATCCAAACATCCAAATATCCAAACATCTAAACTTTCACATTTATAATATTAGTATAGATATTCTATTTAAATGATTGTAGGACATCAGGTCATTTGGCTATAACTTTAGAAAAGATTTGATCGTGGCTAAAGATCAAGGTGGATTATTGCAACAGAATACGATATGCATTTATAGCAATTTGCGTACAGGTATTATTTAGTATTTCTATATGCAAATTTATGATAGATTATGCAGCATTTAATTATATATTTATAGGATAAACATTAATTTAAGTTTTTTATAATTCTGTTACGCAAAAGATTTATTTGAATGTTTTCGGTTCAAATCTACTAAACGTACTAAGTTTGTGAGGATGTATGAATGTCTGGATGTATAGATGTATGGATGTTTATTACTCTTTCATGCAAAAACTACTGAATGGATTTTAATGAAACATTACAATAATATAGCTCATACATCAGAATCAGCTCATAATCAGCTTTTTATTCCGGAAAAATGTAAGGTTCCCGTGGGATAGATTTGTTTTTATTTATTCATAAGCGAACCCGAGCGAAGCGAGGGTGATCCGCTGGTATTTATAAAAATAAATAATTAAAAAGTGGTTTTATTGCGCTTATAATATATTATTTGCATGATACGAAAGCTCGGTGATCTTATTTAAGGGAATTTTCACTAGTACTTATCTATCTATACATATAATAACATTGTAGCTAAGCCGAATCTGTATATTAAATATTTTTTGGAAAATCTTATTGAATATTATATAGTCTTTAGAATTTTTGTCTCTCAGTCTGTCTGTTACCATCGCAGCAATAGCATCACGGAAAAACCACTAGAGGGATTTTGATGAAATTTAATATGATGATAGTTAGTTATCCGGGTCAACATATAGGATACTTTTTACTGCGGGAAAATATGTTATCTCTGAGAAATCTATACTAAACCTTAAAACGTAAGTAGGGACGAACCCGAGCGGAGCGAGGGTGAGTCGCTAGTCCTCATTATAATAACAATTAGATTAAATAATAGAAAGACGTAGACTACTTTTTATGTCGGGAAAGAAAAGTTTTCTAACAAGATATCGCATGTGTTGATGTTGGAGTTGAGTTGAGTTGGAAATGTTGGAGTGCGGTGGAATGATTCTACGCTTTTCGAGACGAATTCAAATTACTAGTAAGTTAAGTTTTTTTTTTCAAATCGAACAAGATAATAAAAACGATATGAAAATTATTGATGTATCTTTTTTTATATATTTTTTTCATTATATTATTCTGAAGAACAATGTAAGTACGAGCTTGATTAAAATTAGTTATATACATTATAGTGTAACTTGAACATTAAAAACCACTTTTATTTAAGTATTTAAGTTGAACGCTCAAGTAAAGAGTCCATTGTCCTCAACTTGGGCGCTTAACTTAAAGCTTATGTTGATATATGATAAATTAAAAAAAAACCAATGAACTTCGGCGGTATTATCTTTAAGTTAGTGTTAACAGATTTCTTAAAATAAAAACTTACGTAATGGAACCAATTGCAAAGTTTCATGAAAACAAAAGCACACTATGGTCGCTCCAAGCACCGGCAACATATCAACAAATCGGGCCATGTTAATTTAATTAAGAACAGTGAATAACACAGAAGTGCCACATACGACGTGCAATGTACGAATGGCTTTACGTCTTTCCCTTACTAGAATTTCGAAGTTGCAATTAAAGACGTTTCAAGGATTTACCGTGCGGTTTCGTTCGTGCGGCATATGCGCTTCTATACTATTATCTACTACAGACTACTATTCCTAAAATAAAATATTATTCAACTACAATACTTTATAATAAAATTGTACATGTACATGTACAATTTTATTATAAAGTATTGTAGTATTGTATTGTAGTATACAATATACAAATGTATAAAATTGTATAGATGAATTATAAGTTATAATGCTATACTACATATACTAGGCTGAATAATATAGTGACCTTTACATTTTTAATATTATAGTATAATAATTAAAGTTTAACATTACAATTGTGTGTTAATTATTCAGTTATTATTAGTATTTATAATTAAGTTAAGAATTTTTGGATGAATGGAATACTTTGAATCTTATTTGTTTTTCTTATAATACTTTCTTAGATTTACGCGAATATTTGACATTTAAAATAAAACTATCTTTTCGGATTATTTCGCGGATTTATTTTGATTTTTGGTTCCCGACGTTTCGAATGCTTTACAGCAATCATGACCACGGGAGAGACTAAAGTTATAGACGTCTCAAACACATACTTGTTACAGGCAGTGCCTACCCACTAATATCCAAACTTCAATAGGGAAAATGTCTGGGTACTACCATCATTTTACAATAAACAATAAAAACAAATATAACAGACCAGTAGATGTAGTTAGTTCATACTGTGTGGATCGTAATAATGACAGTAATTCTGATTAATATATTTTTTGTCTATAAAGGTAGCAATAGTGTTGCTCAATATTTTAACTTTTTTTAAATTATATATAAAACAATAATATTTCTTAGATAAATAATTAATAATTTTAATTTTTAATATTCTTTATGGTTATACATAATATAATAATAGCAACACTAAATAATGTTAGTAATTAATAAAGTTTTTTAAAAATTGTAATATTTATAATAATAACAGCAAAAATTAAATAAATAATATTGCTACATTTAATATTAATATTTAAAAATGATTAGAAATCAAAAGCAACAAATATTGTAAGGTATTTATTTCTTTTTGTTGAAAATATTGAATCTCTATTCAAACCTATAAGTGACTTTACATTTCTCGATGCTACGTTTGAGTCAGATGCACTAAAATTAGTGCATTAAAGTAGAGCTTGAACGTTTTACTTGGCAATTGATCGGCGAAGCAATAGCACAACTACCCACTTAGTTAAAAGATCTGAAAACCTTTTAAGCCTATCATTTTAACCCTATGCTCTCTGACGCAAAAATCAAAGAGGATAGGGTTAAAATATTATGTAGAGATAATATTTGTATATGGTTTATTTTGAATAAATGAATGTTTTTTTTTAAATTGTTCTAACATCTTCCTGTTTTTAATTTTTTTTTTCAGTTATTTTTCAATATCAAATATTACGATTCAGGGGCCCTAGAAGGAGATTTCTAAGTGGGATCAAAAGGGGGCAAATTTGGCGTGCCAAAGACTTATATGTACGTGAACTATGTTATGTACTTGATGATTGAAGATGATCTTCACTCTCCATGATGATCAGAAAAATAGGTATTTTGTGGGTACATAAAAGACTTAGCGAGGCCCTTTATTTGACATGAGGATGGCCCTTGCAGGGGTTTTTGTTGATCAAAATCCCATAAAACCTGGTCTCCTCAGGGACCCCGGGAACTTATCAAGTTTTTTTGATCATGATATTATTATTATTATTAATGCGAAGATTTGTTATTTATGTGAGTGAATGAGTAAATCTGTGTGTAATGTGTATGTTACTTCTTCAAGCTAAGTATAACGGCGCAATGTATTTACCAAATATAAATGGATAAAAAATTTTTACGTGGTATAAGTAATGGATAGCATATTTCATAGTATTATTAGGCAGTAAGCTACAATTTATTTTTACGCTTTATCTATTATCTATTAACATATAGCTAAATGAATAAATTTCGCATAATACGTGCAGAATTATTGCTCTATTTACTATAATATGAAAATAATGACAAACACCGTGATTGGTTGAGTGCTTAAGAGGTCACAACAAACCAAAAAAAAAACATTGGTTTTTAGTTTTTTTTAATAATTAAGAATTCAATTGTACATACAAACAAAATAGGAAGTTAATATGACGAAATTAAATAAAATTATTTATTCACTTATATTAATTTGCATAAAGTAAAATATCAATATTTTAAGACCAGACAGAGTCTTATTTATGAGACCGGCATTTCATGTAGTTTGAAGTGTGACTTTTAAATTTTGTCCTTTAATGATCGCCGATGTAAACAAAAAACGTCTGTGTACTCTCCCCACCATCTAAGTATTTTATGACAGAGTGTGTATATAATTTTTTATTAGGATTCTTTTAAGTGATTTTCATTAATAGCTACGCTAATTACCATTTTATATACATACTAGCGACTTACCCTCGCTTCGCTCGGGTTCGCCTCTAGAAAAGCACAAACAGATCTATCCCACGGGAACCGTACGTTTCTCCGGGATAAAAGTAACCTGTTGTTTGACCGGCAATATAAGGTATCAGCATGCCAAATTTAAGTAAATTAGGTGCGTAAGTGGTTGTGTACTAAGCTGTATAAGTTACTATAGTTTTTTAACTATTCCACGGGAAATCTTTAATTTTCCGGGATGAAAAGTATCTAAGATGTTGCCCGGGAATATAAGGTACCACATTGCAAAATTTCATTTAAATCGGTTCAATAGATTCGGAGATTAGCCCGTTCAAACAGACAAACAGACAGAGAAACAAAAAATTTGAAAAAAAAACTGTATTTGTTCTATTTGTCTTCTTACATACCCCGGACTCGGTTTTTAGCATTTTTTTCTATGTACAGACATTCGACCTTTACAGTTTTATTATAGTATAGATGTAGGTGGCAGTGGTAGCCCAGTAATAACGCACTTATTTGGGAAACCGAGTGAAGGGGGTTCAAATCTCGGAACTTTCACCTCTGATATTTTCATGTGCGAAGCATTTCCAACATGATTACCATTTGCCTTAACGGTGAAGGAAAACATCGTGAGGAAACCTGCATGTCTGAGAGAACCTAGCAAGTTTTCAAAAGACATGTGAAGTCCACCAACCCCCCTTGGCCAGCGTGGTGGACTATAGCCTGATTCCCCTCGTATTGAAGGGAGGCCCGTGCCCAGCAGTGGGACGTTAAATAGGTCTGAATACAATACAATATGTAGGTACATAATATGTAGGTAGGTATGTTTATCTGTGTTTTTCAAATATACATATATTTTCTTAGCTGAGGTGATTATATTTAATTATTATTTTTTATATATTATATTTTATTATTGAGGTTATTTTTTCCTGCTCTATATGTTTGAGCTGATCTTGGAAATATTTCCATGTATAAAATGAATTAATTAATGAATAAAAACAAAATGAAGTTTTTTGTGACATATGAGGAAGCAAGACCATATTATGTACAAGAAATATACTTGCTTATTCTTCTTTGAAACAGAAAAATATTATCCGCATTCGCTTATTAAAGCAGCTTTTTATTTATAACTAGCATTGCCCGCTGCTCTGCCCGCGTTCAGATGACCAAAAACCAAATTCTTTAAAAAAAGGTTTTACATATTAGTATACATTTGCAGTTTTTACATTTTTTCGCAAAAATGAGATATTTTCCCGCGGTAAAAAGTATCCTATATGTTGACCCGGATAACTAGCTATCGCCATACCAAGTTTCATCAAAAACCCTTCAGTGGTTTTTCTGTGATGCGGTAACAGACAGACAGACAGACAGACAAAAGTTCTAAAACTATAGATTCGGCCTATGTATCGATAATAATGTTTATTTCAATAAGATTTTCCAAAAAATATCTAACGTACAGATTCGGCTTAGTTACAATTTTATTATATGTATAGATTACTGTAAGACATGGGGTTCCCTCCCCACCATGCATATTCATTATACGATATATGAATATACAAAGTAGGTAAAAAAATAAATATAGGTGTATGTTCTTATATTGAATAATAACGTCTATTTATTGATTAATTATTTTCGGCTAAAACTAAAATCTTTTAATTCTTAGAATAATTTTTCATTATTTTTTTTATTTACAAACAATACACGTGTTCTAGCAATTTGCACTTCTATTAAACCTTCTTTACTGTCTGAGACATTTTGCACCTAATAAAACCAACAGACTTATGTATATTGTAGAAATTATGCAAAACTAACAATTTGTAACAAAGTACATCAATCAGTAAGCTGTAGATTACCAGACTATATTTTTTACTGTTGGGAAATGTATTTACGTATACCACCTACATAGGTGGTAATGTGGACTCACCGTCTAGAAAGGCTACCCACTAAAATACAGCACAACCTGCCACGTCTTCATGGGGCGTTGCAGGAAGACATACGCACTCAACTACGACGACCCGACGACAGTTCTGCCGAAGCAGACCACAAAGCGAAGGGGTTGCTCCCACGGTCCACTCTGCTATCAGAGTAGTACCAAAAGCAACCCGCACGGTGCACCGCTCACCGAAATGGGCTGTCCCTGTGTGCTGGACGTTAATGACCGACTATCAATAATCTGATAATAGTCTGAATACTTATTAATATATGACTCGGTATAAATATTTTGAATTGGCGATATAATAGTCTATGAGTTCTGAACATAACACATAGAGTAACTATGAAAGGCAATGGATTAAGTTAAATAAAGAAAATAATAATATTTATATCTTCTTATCAGTATTATTCAGTAAAAAAGTTACAAGCATATAACATATGTATATGCTTACATACATTTTATTTATTAAAAAAGTATTCCAAGCTCCGAAGTGGTTTTTTTTTGACATTTATAAACATACTAGCATTGCCCGCGGCTCCGCCCGCGTTCA